TTTATTCACTAAATATTTGTTGAGGAGTTGCTATGTGCTAAGCAATGTTCTAGGCCCTGGGAATAAAGCAGTGAACAAAACAAAGAAAATTCTTACTCCATTAGAGCTTATGTTTTAGTTGGGAGAGATAAATAATAGACAAACATATGGTATGCATGAAGAAAAATAAAACAGAGCCAGAGGATAAGGAGTATGGGGGTAACGGCTATTCTTGATAGGATGGTTAGAGCAAGCTTCTCTGAAAAGTTGACACTTGAACAAAGACCTCAGAGGGTTTAAGAAGTGAGCATCGCCAGGCACAGTGGCTCACACCTGTAATCCCAGCACTTTGGGAGGCCAAGCTGGGCAGATCATGAGGTCAGGAGATCGAGACCATCCTGGCTAACACGGTGAAACCCCATCTCTACTAAAAATACAAACAATTAGCTGGGCGAGGTGGCGGGCGCCTGTAGTCCCAGCTACTTGGGAGGCTGAGGCAGGAGAATGGCGTGAACCTGGGAGGTGGAGCTTGCAGTGAGCCGAGATTGCACCACTGCACTCCAGCCTGGGCAACAGAGCCAGACTCTGTCTCAAAAAAAAAAAATTATTATAGTAATAAAATAAAAATAAAAAAAGAAGTGAGCATCGCCCATTGTTACTAAGACTGTTGTGCTTAAATGTCAGTGATTTTTTTTTGAGATAGGTCTTTGTTATATTTTAGTGAACATACAAAGACACATGTACAAAACTTCATAGGTTTACTTTTTCTAAAACATTTTATTACAAAAGTTTTCAAACATTTGTTACAGTGCACACCTACACACTCACTACCTAGATTCTACCATGAATATTTTATGATCCTTGCTTATTACCTGTCTGCCTATGAACCTGTACCTCTCCCATAATAGGTTTAATTTTTATTTTGGTGTCTTTATCCTTTATTCTGTACATTGTGAAGCTAATCACTTGTGATTTCCTTTTGCCACAGAGGTTTCCAGAAAGTTAATTCATGAGTAGGAAGAAATTTTGTATTCATTTTTGTATTATTGGTGTGTATTTTAATTTTATTTCATTTGGTTTTTTCCATGCAGTTCCTCAATCCATTTGGAATCAATTTGGGTTGTAATATAAGGCAAGGGTCTTGCTTTTGTTTGTTTATTTCCTGTACAACTGGTTTCCCCAACATTTGTGGCCTTTTGCTATGTGATCTGGTCTTTTTTTTTTTTTTTTTTTTTTAAATAATACAAGTTTTTGACCGGGCACGGTGGCTCACTCCTGTAATCCCAACACTTTGGGAGTCCGAGGCAGGCAGATCGCCTGAGGTCAGGAGTTCGACCAGCCTGGCCAATATGGTGAAACCCCATCTCTACTGAAAATACGAAAATTAGCCAGGTGTGGTGGTGGATGCCTGGAATCCCAGCTACTTGGGAGGCTGAGGCAAGATAATTGCTTGAACCTGAGGTAGGAGAATTGCACCACTGCACTCCAGCCTGGTGACAGAACAAGAGTCCATCTCAAAATAATAATAACAATAATAATAATAATAATAATTCCAGTTTTTATATAAGCTTGTTTTTCACAGTGTGTCATCTATGTTCACTTGATTTGGCTATTTATTTTGTTAGCACCTCACTTTAGCAATTTCGTTTCATGATACATTGTAATATGTGGCTAGGCAGTCACCCCAATTTTCCTTTTTAAAATTTTCTTACTTGTGCTGTGTATTTTGTAAATGAATATTAAAGTCACCCATGTTCTAAGGCCTTGTTGCAAGTTTAATTAATATTCACATTTCTTGCTTTTTTGAAAGGAGTCTTTCCGTATCTGTAAAAGAAGGATAAAAACAGAAGTCTTTTGATAGGATTATTATATGGATTAAATAACATACACGTGAAATGTTTAATATGGCTTATCAACTCAGAGCTTTTTCTGACTTTACAGAAGACTCTAAGATTTATTTGGGCTCTACCTAATTGTAATTCATTTCTGGAGTTTCCCAGATCCATTTTTAAGCAAGAAAAAGATAACTTTGGGATATTACCAATTCAGAAATCAAGCACATTGGAGGAGGAAAAGTGACAGCAACACCCAAGAAATGTCTCCCTACCCTTGTTGCAGGATCCTCTAGTATTGTTATGACTAAATGTCCCGCAGAGTCCTCTACCCTCAACCCCACTTCTGCAATGCCCATTCTGCATAACCAGCAGTGATCTGGGGTTCAGATTGACGTTCACACTCACATGTCACAATAGACTGGAATCTGGCACCAGTTTAACTTAGCTTTATATAAGGATGCAGGACAGGAAACAGTGTATCGACATTACAGCATCAAACACATCTTCATCGGGGACCTTCCCACCACCTATGCGTGGCTTCCCAGCCCACAGAAGACACACTCAACCACTGGTGATGAGAATAAGCGGGAGCTTATGGACCACCCCAGCATGGGAAGCTGAGCGCAGGAACTGTCCCTTATAACAGCCTGTGAGCATGGCTTCCAGGGGCCTGCATGCCTGCTCATATGTCTCAGTCCAAATGCAGCTCACTTCCAGGAGGAGTTTTCACAGCACCTCACCCACCTACCACGCCACAGTTATCTTAGCCCAGTGCATTTCAAGGATATGGTATAAGAAATAGTTACATCTGGGATCACCTTCTCGCGGAGAAAAGATGTAACCTGCTATAGGCCCTTTCTCCTCACCACACCACTCCCAGTGTCTGGTTCTCTTCCTGTCACTGCTGTTTTCTAGCAGGAATAGGCTTTAGAACCTCCTCACATCACTGAGGAAAGCCCGTGGCACTCTGTTTACCAAGACAACAGGGAGCCTTAGTGATATTCCTTCCACATACCTTTTGTTTTCACAGGGTGGGGCAAGATACTCCTCGTCATCTGCTGGGGTCTCCTGCTGCTGCCTCTGGCCATACAATTTTCACTCAGGAAAAGGAGAGGTTTAGGCCATCACTGGTCGTTCTCCAAGCTCCCTCATCAGCACTGTTTTCCGCCGACATTCTTTCAGATTTCTACTCAATTTCTCCCAATGTGGTCTCTGCCTCATCTGAATTTAAAATTCTAGCTCCCTGCATGTGTTCTCCTTGTGCTCTTCTTCCCAGACTTGGCATCTCAGCAGAGCCATTTCTGTTTTTGTGTACTTCTCCTTTTGAGGATGAACCCACCATGGTGGACATTTCTCCTTTCTGTCTTCACAGGACTGACTGTTCTTTCCCCAGCGCCTGGTATTGAGTAGATTTCCAATACACGTTGAAGTATTCTTAAGGTTTAAGAAGTAATAGATGGTGCAGACCCAGTTTGCTAAGATGATATCAGCCAAAGTGCATATATTTCTACCCTGATTCAACAAAAGTAAATGTCACAATTTGCTTATCTCGACCCTGATCCTTTATGCAAAGATTTTTTCGTGCAAAAAGTACAGTAAAGGTAGAGAAAATGGGAAAAGCTATGTTTATTTTTCCCTGAGAAACAGGATTCCCAGTTTCTGTCTCAGACATGCCTGTGTCTGATCTAAGAAGAGGATTGTCTATTAATGCCAAAAACCCAGACAAGCAGTGAGCAATGGGAGAGTATTAAAGAATCAAAAAGCAGAGAGGGTGTTGCTTATTTCTTTCCTTTCTTTACCAACATTTTCTTGGGTTCCCAGAATTAAGTGCTAGAGGTAGAATTAACTTTGAGATTAACAATGCTGCTGGAATCTTTTGTAAAAAATTACAGTTTCATTATCATTTCACTGATTCTCAGTGGCTACTTGATGAAGCATCTGGCCTATTTTCTGTATGCTTGCCTTGGAATGAGGGAGTTTAACAGTAGCTCACGTTGATTGAGCATTTGCTATGTGCTAGGTACTATGTTAAGTACTCTACAGGTCTTATTTAAGCATCATAATACCCATTTTACGTAGGCACTGATGTTATGCCCATTTTACAGGTGAGAAAACTGAGGTACAACATTTAGTTATCTCAGGGTCACACAAGGTCAAGGCAGAGCCAGTGTTGGACTCAGTCTGACTCCAAATTCTGTTATAACTCACCAAATTCTATATTATGTAATATAGAATTATAACTCCAAATTCTATAACTCAGTGCATAATGTATACTGTCTCTTATACACTAATTATCTGTGTTTATTCCATAATGATTATTAATATTTTAATGCACAATAGGGAATCTTTTTGCAAACCCAATTAATGGAGTAACTGTCTTCATATATATTGTGTTAAGGTTCTTAATTTCAGTCATTCCCTTCAATATTTCTTACTAAATTATTGATCTGGATGTTAAGAGGGAGAAGGGTACACTTGAATTGGATTGATTTCTTCTGTAACCTTAGAATAAATTTCTCATCAAGAAACTTTATTACCATCTTACGTTTTTACTTTCCATAATAAATTGTGGACTTTACTCCATCTCTGAGCTCTACCTGCCTCGTACGGCTTGTCTGGCTGTTTTATGGCAGCAAACAATGAAGCAGATACTTTTACCCCATGAAAATCCCCAGCTCTAGGGCTCATTTCCAAATGTCAAGAGTTGAACCATCTCCAAGTGGGTCTGACCCCACTTGTCTTGGTGGACTTCCCTCTGCATTCCCATTCACTTACCTGAATTTGTTAAGAGTGTTTTATGTTGTGAAATCTTTAATCATAGAGTCTAGTCTATATATGGGAGGTCTAATCTAGCCTCAAGCTTTTCCTTTTTTCCCCCAGCGAAATATTTGGGATGGTAGCCTCCAACCAGGATTGACTTATACTGAAAAAATGAGCCAACATTTTTTGTTACTGCTCATTTGAATTTCAGAAATTTGACTTCATGGTATCTCATTCTAAATATTTTTTCAACAGTATTGAGGTATTATTGATTCATGTTAAGTATTTATATCTCTCTTTCACTTGTGGTTCAGTTTCAAAGTGTATTTCACCGTGTTGTTGTTGTTGTTTTTGTTTGTTTTGTTTTTGTTTTTGTTTTTTGGTCATCCTCTGGTTGTTTTAACAGCAAGTTTTATCTGCTTACAGGAGAATATTAAAAAGTGAGCCTCCATATCCCCAAGAAATGAGTGCTTTAGCTAAAGACCTAATTCAGCGTCTTTTGATGAAAGATCCCAAGAAGAGATTGGGATGTGGTCCACGCGATGCAGATGAAATCAAAGAACATCTCTTCTTTCAGGTGAAATTATTGAATAGATAAATGGTTTCATACTCCTTGCCATTTTCAAGGTCGTTGGCATTCTTGTGAAATTAGTGAACACAGTCCCCTTTGGATCATCTTCCACTGGCATTTTCACATACATTGCACCTTTTGTTTGTTTTTTTGTTTATTTGAGACCGAGTCTCGCTCTGTCGCCCAGACTGGAGTGCAGTGACGCGATCTCGGCTCCCTGCAGGCTCCACCTTACGGGTTCACGCCATTCTTCTGCCTCAGCCTCCCGAGTAGCCGAGACTACAGGCGCCCGCCACCACGCCCGGCTTATTTTTTTTGTATTTTTAGTAGAGACGGGGTTTCACCGTATTAGCCAGGATGGTCTCAATCTCCTGACCTCGTGATCCACCCACCTCGGCCTCCCAAAGTGCTGGGATTACAGGTGTGAGCCACCGTGCCCGGCCTTTTTTGTTTGTTTTTAATGATAGGGACCCTTTAGGTAGGATCAAACTCTCCTTGTATAAACATAAATGGTCTTTTTCTCCCTCAATGGAGCAGGAGTGGGGAGGATCATAATAGCATTCAATTTTATACATACTCATTCATTAGAGTTTCTAGGGGGTGGTTTCCATTTATGATCATGCGATCTAGCCATATGGACTAAGGAGACTTTTACTGTACTTTTTACTTCTGTTTCAGTTCATGAGCTATTACCGCCACTGTGTTTCACCTTTTAAATAGTGATTACATCACTTCCTCTTTTCCCAGAAGTAATCTTTAAAAATTTTAGATTTACCTAGTTCTCAGTTACATATTCATGACACAAAGAGAGTTATTCATTTATTTCCTTTGTCCTGTGACAGTGCTTCTCTTATTCTGAAAAAGCCTAATGAGACCATTCTACTGAGGACCAACATATCTGCTCAGTTTAGTACAAAAAAAACCACCAAAATATTAAACTTCTGGGAAAAAACATTTAACTGAGTTGGCTCGTTATTTCCAGCCTCATTCGTCAAAACTGGGGATGCCATGGCTTTGATTTCTAAAACTCTGGAGATACAACTTTTAAATAACTTCATCTTATCAGTAAGCCTGACCTAAATATTTGTGGTCTAAAGGGACCATCTAGGTTTTATTTTTTATTCTGTAAATTAAACTTTTACATGATTGGCCGGGCGCGGTGGCTCACGCCTGTAATCCCAGCACTTTGGGAGGCCGAGGCGGGCGGATCACAAGGTCAGGAGATCGAGACCATGGTGAAACCCCGTCTCTACTAAAAATAGAAAAAATTAGCCGGGCGCAGTGGCGGGCGCCTGTAGTCCCAGCTACTCGGGAGGCTGAGGCAGGAGAACGGCGTGAACCCGGGAGGCGGAGCTTGCAGTGAGCCGAGATTGCGTCACTGCACTCCAGCCTGGGCGACAGAGCGAGACTCCGTCTCAAAAAAAAAAAAAAAAAAAAAAAAACTTTTACATGATTATCACTAAAACAAATGAAAATAATATATCAAAATGAAGAAAATCTCTTTTGTCAGTTAAGCTTCATGTTGTTATTTATTGTTTTTTAAATATATAAAAACAAATATTGGTTAGAAATGAGAATTATCTCTGCACTTCTATGCTCAAAAAAAGGCATATTTTTCTTAGTCTGTCAATATAATTATTTTTTTTAAATACTGCACATCTTACAGAAGTTCAGTAACATAGTGAGAAATATATTTAGAATAAAATAAACCTCTCATATGCATTTCATAGATTCACATGGCTTGGAAGGATTACTCTTTGAACAAACTTTCAAATATCTTGTTTAGAAGTTTATCTCAAAAGTTAACAGTAAAATTTAAGAAACAAGTGAAGCAAAGTACCCCCGACCATATATTCCTAAGATCTTTTTCTCCATGGCTCCCTGTATTTGGGAATATTGCAGTTTGTCTTTCATATTAGAGAAATTTCTCTTTTCAGTAGCTTGGAATAGTAATTTTAGATTACTTAATTGCCTTGACGTTTTAAATGATAAGGACACTTTTGGAAAGACCAGAATTCTACTTGTAAAGGCCTAAATGGGCTTTTTCTCTGTAAGTGGTGCGGAGGTGGAAAGGATCATAATAGCATTCCATTTTCTACATATTAAACATTCTCCTGCTAACAACCTGTTTCTTTAAATTACCCCTTTCCTCTAGAAGTTTCTTTTAATATATGTACAATAGCCAAGCACAAGTTATGTGCTTGTAATGGAAAACATTACAGCTGCAGAGAGAAAAAAACACTAACTAGAAAGTCAAGAGACTATGTTCAAATCCTGACTCTTCCATCAACTGTGTTTGAGTGAAAAGGTTATTTCTTATTTCTCGGCCTCAGTTTCACTGGATCAAATAAAGGAGATGAACTAAATGATCTCAATTCCATTTTAGCTGAGAAATTTGGAGATCTGTAATTTAATTATTTTGTTTCTATTGCATCTACAAGACAACATAATAAAAACATTTTATGGTAATTGATTAAACTTACTGAATTTTATCAACCAAGAAGTGCACATTTTCATATTTTACTGTCACTGAAATCAGTATGCATGTTACAGTGACCATCACCTTATATTCTTATGATTAATACTTTTTTCTTCTTAATGATACATAAAATAATTGTGTATCTTACTATCAGTAATGGCATCTTAGATTTGAAGAAATATGGTAGTAGGAGATCTGTAGGATTTAATTCAGTAAGTGTTACCTGAGATTGTTTTAAATGATAGAAGGAGCACAAAGAAACAGAGTAAAGGGTTGGATTTCAGTAATATAACTCAGTAAGTGACCTAGAGGGAAAAGGGGCTTGCATTATTCTATGGGGGATGTAAGAGGTAGTGTTTAAAATGCTTGAACACAGTTGAATAAGTGATCACATCCGTATAATGGTATCATTTGGACTTCTAGACATAGGCACATGCATGATTACTTATTTTCCAGTCAGTCTGGATGCCCAGGAGGAAAAACAAGTGCAGGCGGAGAGCTAAGTAACACTGCCTCTAGAAAATAGGAATGTTCCTTTAGAGCTAATATCCACATCTGTAGAGCATTTGGAAACCCTTTATTTCAGTTTTTTATTTTGTTTTGGGTTTTTTGCTTGTTTTCTTTTTGGCTTAGCACCTTTCTGAAGAGGCTCAGGGCAAAAGTATTTTTCTGTTATCTTTAAAGGTAAACTAGGGAGTCTTGGTGCCCCCCAGAGGACACTCTGAGATTCAACAGCGATAGTCTCATCTTTGAGGCACAGCGTTGGTTGGAGCTATAAACTGCTGTGATCTTGCTTGGAAAAAATATATTTTTTATTATTGATGTAAAATATGTTCCCTTATTTTTATCCTCTCTCCCTACCAGTCAAAATCCTAATTTATCTTTGCTATTCTTAGAAAATATGTTTTGACTGTTGATTTCTACTTTGTACCAACTTTCTTTGTTTTAGAAAATAAATTGGGATGATTTAGCCGCCAAAAAAGTGCCTGCACCATTTAAGCCGGTCATTCGAGATGAATTAGATGTGAGTAACTTTGCAGAAGAGTTCACAGAAATGGATCCCACTTATTCTCCTGCAGCCCTGCCCCAGAGCTCTGAGAAGCTGTTTCAGGTAATTTCCCAGCCTGTGCACATGTACATTGGCCATGTGTCCTTTGAAAGAAAAGATTAAATTTCCCATATTGAAGTAGTTTTGTTGGCACCGTAAAAATGGGATTCTTTAATATCTTCTAAATTATTAAGTGCAGAAATATTGCAGATTGTTAACTGAAGCTTATAGTTTGCTCAATAGCAGATACTGTTTATGTGATTATTTTTGATATAAGGGAAGTTTTAATTTTATACCTGAAATTTTATTTTTGTTCAGACTCTTTTATAGAAAATACAATAATCTTTTATTTTACCTCTATTCATATTAAAAAAATTTTTTCTTTATACACACAGGGTCTCACTTCGATGACTGGAGTGCAGCAGTGCTGTCCTAGCTCACTGCAGCCTCAGACTCCTGGGCTCAAGCAATCCTCTCACCTTAGCCTCTGGGATAGCTGAGACCACAGGTGCAAACCAGCACACCCAGCTAATTTTTCTATTTTTTGCAGAGATAGGGTCTTGCTATGTTGCCTAAGCTGGTCTTGAACTCCTGGCCTCAAGTGACCCTCCTGCCTTGGCCTCCCAAAGTGCTGGAATTACAGGCATAAGCTACCACATCCAGCCTTGGCCTCCCAAAGTGCTGGGATTACAGGCATGAGCCACCACGTCCAGCAAAAAAAAAAATTTTTTTTTTAAGAAACAAGGTCTTACTCTGTCACCCAGGCTGGATTGCAGTGGTATGATCATAGCTCGCTGCAGCCTTTAACTCCTTGGCTCAGGGGATCCTCTTGCCTCAGCCTCCTGAATAGCTGGGACCACAGGTACATGTCACCACACCCACCTAATGTAAAAATTTTTTTTTTAGAAACAGGGTCTTACTTTGTTGCCTAAACTGGTCTTGAACTCTGGCCTCAAGCGATCCTCCTGCCTTGGCCTCCCACAATATTACCTTATTCATTACCTTCAGTAACTAATCTTAACTGCTAACTCTTAAAAAAGATTTAGATTTTTATTATATTTAGAAAAGGGCATTTGTCACACAAGGTAAAATATTCTAACTATTAAATGGCATCAGAGCTTAGCTTCTTTGACCTCTATAAGTATACCTTTAGTATGGCTTAATCTGGCCATCCAGACTGTGTCTTTTCTTCTTTGCTTATCACTGTCTAGTATGTGACTGGGCACTTATTGAACTTTTTTAAAATGTTTGTTGATTAGTGAATGTTCTAACTTGAACAGATTAATCATCCATCTTTGTACCACTTGGCTGAGAGCATCATTCTGCCATTAGACTTTGTTCCTTTCCAAAACTCAATTTTAAATTTAATTATTCTGAAGATATTAATAAGAATCAAATAATTGCTAAATTAGAAACTAACTTTAATGAGACTTGCCATTTTTCCAATTTGAAAAACAATAGCATTTAAAGACCACTTTGTGGCCGGATCTCGTGGCTCAGGCCTTTAATCCCAGCGCTTTTGGAGGCTGAGGTGGGTTGATCACTTGAGGTCAGGGGTTCAAGACCAGTGCGAGACATGGTGAAACCCTGTCAGACATGGTGGCATGTGCCTGTAATCCCAGCTACTTGGGAGGCTGAGGCAGGAAAATGGCTTGAACGCAGGAGGCAGAAGTTGCAGTGAGCCAAGATCGCACCACTGTACTCCAGCCTGGGCCACAGAGCCAGACTCAGCCTCAAAAAAAAATAAAGACCACTTTGTTTAATACCTTGACTATATCCTTTTTTTGAGAAGTTAGTTATGTTTATAAACAAATGTTTATCAGCAAACCAGGAGAATTTCATCTATGAGTCTGATTTTGGGGGTGGAAAAGTGAAGAAGTCTTTTTCTACCTTTATTTTTGAATTGGTTTAGTTCTACCAGAAGATGGCATTATATCCTTCTGAACAGCATTTTTCAAATGATTTGAAATAACCTTGCATTTTAGATTGCAAATAGAATAAAATTAGACTCATCTCAACAGATATTTGAGTGTTTTTCTAAGAAAACAAAAGTCATTACAATCTAATCTGTGTTAAACTGGAAAACTGCAAGTTGTTTTTCCTTATCTTTCTTTGTCTTGTTTTTAGGGCTATTCCTTTGTTGCTCCTTCCATCCTATTCAAGCGTAATGCAGCTGTCATAGACCCTCTTCAGTTTCACATGGGAGTTGAACGTCCTGGAGTGACAAATGTTGCCAGGAGTGCAATGATGAAGGTATATAGATGTGGTAACTTATATGACATATTTGTAGGTTTCGTGAGTGTTTAAATACTAACTCTAATTAATGTTCTTAAGTCTAGTAATTCAACTAAAGTGCAGTTTTACCAGTGGGATACAGCACTATTTTCCCTAGAATATTAACGTCAAGTTGAAAGAGCTTCTTTTTACGATTATAGAGAATTATGTATCTTAAATAATTGTGTAGATGAAAATAGAAATTACCTATAAAGTAAGATGAATTTTAGATTATAAATGTATTCTATTCCTGTTTATTAATATTAATAATTTTATTTTACTCTACAATTTTATTGATCCCTTGTGTATTACTGACATTTTCTGAAGTTAAATGATGTTGATTTCTTAACAGGACTCTCCATTCTATCAACACTATGACCTAGATTTGAAGGACAAACCACTGGGAGAAGGTAGTTTTTCAATTTGTCGGAAGTGCGTGCATAAAAAAAGTAACCAAGCTTTTGCAGTCAAAATAATCAGCAAAAGGTATGATCATTTATAATATATTATTATTTCTTATGTATTCATGAATTCTGTAAATTAAGAGATATTTATTTAAAATGAAACCAGTATTATATTGTAAGACTTTTTTACCCATAGGTTTAACCACTTGGCTCACCAGTTGGTCCATTATACTTTTGGCTCTAATTGATATTTGCTGATAAAGTCATCCATTTTAGACATACATCATAGTCTTATTTGCTTTTGAGTTTATCTACCGAAAACGTCTTTGTGACAGTGACATATTTAATCAGCCTCACTTAGTGATTTTGGCAGCTGGTGCCATTTCTACTAGTTGTGTATTTGAAATATTTTTCTCTAAAATTATTTAGCAAGCTACTGATAGCTTTGAGAGCCATCTAGTTGTTTTGGTAACTGATGATTATTGTTAAGATTGCCTATTCTTATTGCTAAATTGTCAGGCAAGTAGAACATTCATTTCCTCATATGATTTGTACTTTTCTGACTCAGAAATAATCATTTTCTTCAGAATATTACTTTTTCTGGTGTGTGGTATAATTCATTACTTTCATGGAAACCTCATTATGGTATATGGTAGCATGTATATTCTGAATGCACTGTAAATAAAACTAAATTAGTCTTGGGGCAGTACTGATGTAAAAGCTTTCTTAAAGAGACATGTGGGCGCTTAGTGTCTCATCTTGCAGGATGGAAGCCAATACTCAGAAGGAAATAACAGCTCTGAAACTCTGTGAAGGACACCCCAATATTGTGAAGTTGCATGAAGTTTTTCATGATCAGGTATCCTACTTTTTTTTCCTATGTGTACTAATTCACTTAAAGGTTGTACTTTTCACCGGTTTTATTGGTGCTACTGGGTCAGAGTCAGGGATAGGGAACATCACCCAACCACCAGAAAGGGCAGAGAAACCACCCTCCCAACCCCTCCCCAGCCACACAGTTTCCCAACCCCAACTCAGGTTATCCCTTCACTTCTCATGCTTTTCTCACTCAGCCGTTACCACCTATGACAGGAAGACGGAGGGACAGGAGCTCAGTGCTGCAGTCACTAGCTACAAGGTACTTGTTGCCAATGCTGCTGCTACCCACCATCACTTAATCCTGGAATACTTCTCCGGACTCAGGAATTCTGAGCCTCCAACTTCCCTTTCACTTATAGAATAGAACTGAGAGAGTCTGGAGCCTAATTAATGCAAGCTAAAGGACAAATAGGAAGCAGAAAGCAAAGATACTCCTTTTATCTTCTAGCTCCAGGTGGTAAATTCTGCTCAGAACCCTGGCCAGATCATACTGCCCCCTCTTCTGCTCTCAGTCCTGCTTTGCAACAGGAACTATGGGAGGATGCCAGTGTGTCCAGTTTGTGTCTGCTAACCTCACACGTGACAGAAATTGCTCCATTACACTATTCTCTGCCCCCGAGACCAGGTGGGGTGATGTATTCCTACTTAAGACAACTTGGAGGCACAAGAGAATGAACCAATCCTGAATGTGCTTTGCCCTAATTTTACCAATGAAGAAACTGAGATTTGGAATGGTCATAAAACTTGTCCAAGGTCACACAGCACATCAATGGCGAATCTAATAAGAAGAACCTGTACTCCAGTTCTGGGCTCTGTTTGTTGTGCTCTCATAATATCTGTGACCTAGGGTCAATGGGGGCCAGTTCTCTACCACACTGAAATATCCTTGAGTACTGTTGCCAGGAATGATACATCATGGTGAGACCAGGCAGCAGCAGCAGTAGCACTATAGCCACAATAGCTGCTCCATTTATCATCACATATCTTGTGTGGTCTAGGTCCTGTTCAAGGCACTCTGCATGTATTATCTTATTCAGTCCTTACCCTAGGTCCATGAGGTGAGAAAATGGACACTCACAGAAGTTAAGTAACAGGTCTCACAGTTGGTAAGTGTGGTAAGGCCGGGATCTGAATCCACACAGTCCAACTTCAGAGCCCAACAAGCTTTTACTTACTTTGCACTACTGCCTTAGGGAAGGCAGAATCACATCTGGCAGTAAGCATCCCAAAATGGCATCATCCTCTACTCACTCTTTGGTTCTTATAGTCAGAAAAGAAATGCCACTGAAGCAAGGACTCGGGGAACTGCTGTCCCTGATCCTCTACCTCCTCTTGCCTCATCAAGCCACTCAACACAAGAGGAGGTAATGAGTCCCCTGGCCACGAAGGTGCTTAAGAAGAGGCTCACTAGACAGTCTCCTGTTGAAGATGACATAGAGGAAATTGACATCATTCAAGGAATCAATGGGTGATCTTAGATGCTCTCCTCTGGGTTAGCAACTGTGCCCCTAACTACATCCCAGACAAGATATTTGATCTCTGACCTTCAGACTAACGTCAGGTCCCACAAACAACATTTCTAATTTTTTATTTATATCACAAATTAAGTAGATGTTTTGCTATTTATATATTCAGGAGTTACTAAAATATAAATTATCACATGATGTAATCCTGTACAAACTAGTATAAATACATTATCAATCTAATACGCAGTTGTAGTGTATCTTGGGTTTTCTCATAATGGTGGCACGGTTGCCTAGATCATCCCTGTATCCAGTCTTTTCTTCAACTAATGGGTGAAACTGGTTATAGTGGGTCTTCATCCTTTGTGCAGTAGTGTAGTTCATTTTGTGTGCCATGATATGGTTTCACATACTCTGTGAGTTTGCTATTGCTGCTGCAACAAATCACCACAAACTTAAAACAATACAAATTTGTTATCCTGCAGTCTGGAGGTCAGAAGTCCAAAATCAGGCCCATTGGCTTAAAGTCTAGCTGTCACCAGGGCTGGTTCCCTCTTGAGCAGAACCAGGTGCATAGCAGAAGGTGAGCGGCAGGTGAGCCAGCATTACCACCTGAGCTCCACCTTTTGGCAGATCAGCGACAGCATTAGATTCTCACTGGAGCACAAACCCTGTTGTGAACTGCGCATGGTGAGGGATCTGAGTTGCAGCACTCCTTACGAGAATCTAGTGCCTGTCCCACCCCACTACTGCCTCCTCCCATCCGTGGAAAAAATTGCCTTCCATGAAACCACTTCCTGGTGCCAAAAAAGTTGCGGGCCTGGCTCACGCCTGTAATTCCAGCACTTTGGGAAGGCGAGGCAGGTGGATCACTGGAGGTCAGGAGTTTGAGACCAGTCTGGCCAACATGGTGAGACCCTATCTCTACCAAAAAATACAAAAAATTAATCAGGCGTGGTGTTGTGCGCCTGTAGTCCTAGCTACTCTGGAGGCTGAGGTGGGATAATCCGTTGAACCTGGGAGGCAGAGGTTGCAGTGAGCCAAGACTGCACCACTGCACTCCAGCCTGGGTGATAGAGTGACACCCTGTCTCAAAAAAATAAGAAAAAAAGAAAAAAAAATGTTGGGGACCACTGCTCTGGAGGCTCTAAGGGACAACCCATTTGCTTGCCTTTTGTAGCTTCTAGACATCCCCCAACATTTCCTTGACTATAAGCCTTCCATGCATCACTCTAAGATCTTGCCTCCAGGGTCTTATCTCATACTGCTAACTCTGGAGTAATTCAGGATAATCTTGCATCTCAAGATCCTTAATTTACTAATCACATCTCAAAAGGCCCTTTTGCCATCCTTCTAAGGTAACAACCACAGGTTCTGTACGTTAGGACATGAACATCTTTGGAGGGCCATCATTCAAGCTCTACCACACATACATTTTCTCATTGTTATCTGTATTTTATTGATAAAGATACTAGAATTAATAAGATAAAGTAACATCCCAAGATCTTGAATAAATAGCAGAATTGACTTTCAAATCCAGGTTGAACTCTAAATCTATTCTTACACCACTACAATATTGCCTTACATCTTTTTTAAAGCTCACCAGCCTATATTTGTAGCAGACCTGCAAGCTTGACTTTATCTGATGTAGAAACTCAGTTTGATGTCTGGTAGGCTGGGAGCAATTTTCTTTTTAGAAGGGTCGTTCACTCTACAATTTGTCTAATGTGTTCAGGATAATGTACTTACAATTATCTTTTTTATGAAGCAGTTTATTGTAAGTTTTGCTAATAAAGAAAGAAACATTTTGTTTGTGAAGTGATGTTGGCCTTATAATGCATGGCACCTGAATTCAGTATATTGCCATGATATCTTTTTCTAAACCATTTGTGTTCATTTGAGAGCTGATTAAGTCCTTTCTTTTTTTCTTTTTTGAGATAGGGTCTCACTCTGTCACGCAGGCTGGAGTGCAGTGGTGCAATGACGGCTCCCTGCAACCTTGACCTCCTGAGCTCAAGTGATTCTCCCACCTCAGCCTCCTGAGTAGCTGGGACTATAGGTGTGCACCACCATGTCTGGCTAATTTTTGTTATTATTTTTTGTAGAGATGAGGTCTCACTGTGTTGCCCAGGCTGGTCTTGAGCTCCTGGGCTCAAGCAGTCCTCTCACCCTGGCCTCCAAAAGTGCTGGGATTATATAGCCCTTTGCTTTTTGATAGTTCCTTTGGAAATTATGCACTCTGACAGAAAAGGGCCAGGGGTGGGGAAGAAAAAGCATGGTAAACATATAATTTACAAAGTAACTATTAAGATAATACTATTGGGATTAAAGCAAAAACCCATAGTGAGTTATAGGTATTTGTAATGAATATTAACAGGAACCCTGAAACTAATCTGTTGAGTCGTAACAGGAGGTTCAAAATGACAATATCAAAGAATACCTTTTTAAACTTTTATGTTGTAATTTATTTGTAGAGACGGAGTCTCACTGTGTTGACCAAGCTGGTCTTGAACTCCTGACCTCAAGCAATCCTCCCACCTCAGCCTCCCAAAGTGCTGGGATTACAGGTGTGAGTCACTGAGCCCGGCCTCAATACCTTTTTTAAAAGATTAATTTGCCATTGAATGGGTGTGCCAGGCTTCACGTGGGCAGTTGCCCATTGTACTCAGTCAATATTCAGATTCTATATTATTTAAAGCAAGTGACTTCACATTATTGTCACGTTATTGTCAGCAGTTTAAAAAGAAAGATGTGTAAACTTGATAGGGAGGGTTGGAATGGAATTCAAATGAAAGAATTAGCTGGGTGCAGTTGCACACCGATAGTCCCAGCTCATCGGGAGGCCTGAGATGAGAGAATCCCTTGAGCCCAGGAATTCAAGGGCAGATTTCTTTTTAGAGACTTCATCTCTTAAAACAAAACACTGCAAATGAAAGAATTCATCACAGAAGGGAAAAAAGATATACAGTATAAAGATTTCACTGCAGTACTTGAAATTTTCCATTACCAAAATAGAATTATAAAACAGCTACATTATCTTTCAGTTCTTTCCTCTAAGATACGAGGATTGCCACTGATTATTTTAACAAGGGATTATTTAAACGTGTTGGTGGTAGATAGTCAATAAATGCTTTATATGTTAATAGACTTCTGTGCTTCAGAAAGGCCCTCCACATTATTCCTTTTCTTTTCTAGCTTCACACATTTCTGGTGATGGAACTTCTGAATGGGGGAGAACTGTTTGAACGCATTAAGAGAAAGAAGCACTTCAGTGAGACGGAAGCCAGCTATATCATGAGGAAGCTTGTTTCGGCTGTAAGCCACATGCATGATGTTGGAGTGGTGCACAGAGATTTGAAACCTGAGGTACAAAATCACTTGCTCTCTTATGTAATTCAATCTAGCATCATTATTAAAGATCTCCCAAACATGTGGGAAGTTTCTGGGCAGGTTTCCTTATTTTTTTACTTTTCAAAGCTGTAAAATAGATAATTGAAAATATGTTTCTTGGATTTTTTTTTCTTTTATATTTCAGTCTAAAATAAATTTGTCTTTGTTTATTTTTTGCCAGCGGATCATCTTGAGGTTATATTTGTAAGTGGGAGAGCCTTTTATGGAAAAAATACTTTATGCAACAGTTGTGGACTAAAAATAGCAATGGAAATTTTTGTAACAGAAAATAATATCTCTTACATATAATTTTAGAGGGTTTTTTCCCAAATGATGTATTTTGAAAACTTATTTTTTACATTTGTAATCAAATTGGTTAGCTCATGAATAAAAATGTATATAATTGTATTCTAAATACTTAAAGAATTGTCTTGGTTTAATTAGTTATGCCATCTTTCTATGTGCTTTTCTATGATCGTGCTATAATATTTATAGAACTATATGTAGCAATGCAAAAGTAACAGCTATTTATGTATCTCCTCTTATGAAAGGCTAATAAAGAACATTCTCTTAGAATGATCCCTTTTTAGTATCAAAACTATGAAAATTCCCTCCTTTTAGAAAATCAACAAAATAATTAAAATTGAAAAACAAAAATCAATACTGTATAAAAAGATAATGATGACTCATCCTTTACCATATACAATAGTATACATATTCTCTCCAAAATAGAACTTTAATTATCATGTGATTATAATACATTCTCGAGTATATATAAAATATTAACTTATTTGATGTTCCTTTTGTGATTAAGCCACAAACGAATCATTTCTCTAAAAGTGCTGTTTCTGCCTTTTACTTCAGTATCTTGAATTATTAGAAAAAGAGGATGTTTTCAAATGGAATTCTTTTCTTCTCTACTTCACATGGAAAAGAAAATTTTTAATGGAATTCTGCGCATTAAAGTATACTTGGTTTATTCCTTTCATGTATTTAAACTTCTGTCTGTGTATTTTCTATTACCATTATTCACATTACTAGTAATTAATCAAAAGTAAATTCTGTTTTATTAACTTGCAACTATGATAGCTCCCCCCTGCTTCCTTCATCATAGTTCTCACTCTCCTACATAACGCCCACTGAAAATATGGTGCTCTGTACATTGGAGATTAGCTGTCTATTTTTAAATGTGAAAGCACACCACTTAAATGTTTTCTTGATAGACAAGGAACAAGCATGTAGTTTTTTTTAATTGAAAAGATCTGTTCCATGACTGTATAGAATTCATTTTCACATGTTTTATTCTTTGATAACTGGCCATCTGTCACCTCATGAGTCTCAAATGAGGCAACTGTCCTCTCTTGCAGAATTTAGATTTGCATTCCTCCTTTCCTGATAAAAAGATACTTATGTAGCTTAATTCTTCTTATTTATTATAAGGCTTTTCTTTGAAATACTCACTTGAAATGGGGCAGAACTGTCAGATTATTTAGGACATTCTACTACAATTATAGTTCTAAATCAAACTAGATTTTGGAGAAATGAAAATGTACCTTTGAACTAACATTTTCATAATAAAATGTCTTTCACTTTGACTTTTAAATGGCAGTGTATATTATTTCTAAACTAAAAGTTTAGTATTTTTCCCATGTGCACTTTAAGGTCTGATTATCTTTCTTTTGGTAGGAAGCTATGTGGATTCATTTTCTGCATAGGCAGAATCGTAAGTCTAGGTAAGAGTCAGATAAATTTAGAGGCTGGCTGACATTCTTAGTAAGCTGCCTTGTATTTTTCAAACTTGTCCCATACTCTTCTGAGATTAAGAAAAGTTGCATACATCAAATTTGTTTCAGGCAGAACTTGAGATGATGATAAAAGGGGATTGAATGGTTACTTCCCACCATTGCTGACTAGGCACACCCTCCTCCATGTAGAACTGTCTGTAACTTTGAACTTTGAGAGAAGAGGTAGGCAAGTGAGCAGTGTTTCTCAATTTTACATATTCAGGATAAGAGGAGTGGATTAAAGTCACCAAATTAAAGTGATTGCCACGTCCTCTCACTTCGTCCGCTTTAAGAACTGAAATTGGCTGAGCGCGGTGGCTCATGCCTGTAATCCCAGCACTTTGGGAGGCTGAGGCAGGCGGATCACTTGAGGACAGGAGTTTGAGACCAGTCTGGACAGTATGGCAAAACCCCATCTCTATTAACAATACAAAAAAAATATTAGCCAGGCATGGTGGCAGGCGCCTGTAATCCCAGGTACTTGGGAGTCTGAGGCACCAGAATCACCTGAATCCAGGAGGTGAAGGTTGCAGTGAGCCGAGATTGCACCACTGCACGCAGACAGAGCAAGACTGTCTCAAAAAAAAAAAAAAAAAAAAAAAAGAACTAAAATCAGGGAAGCCCTTTTCCAGTCTTAATATAGAATAAACGTAGTCATTTCCAAAGACTTAGCAGGGTCAATGAAGACGGGGCCAGCTGTGGTTCATTCAGTTGTTCTGTGTGGACAGTGCTTTGCACTGCAAAGGGGCTCACGTGTTACTTGCTGAAAGACTTCTCCCAAGCACACATCCATCAACCCCAGCTGTGACTTCAATGTCACAAATTCATGATTAAACACTCTATGCTAGAAAATTTAAGACAATTTTTAGTTAATATTTTTGTTTTTCTTTCCACCCACTTTATTCATTTTCAGATGGAAGGCTTAGGAGATTTTTTTTCTTTGCATCAGTGATACCTTCTATAATGTGTTTTATTTCAGCTAGAATAGCATTAACAAAGCAAATGATGTTCCAGAGCTGGGAATAATTTAATGACTATGAAGGTATAGTGGATTTTGTTAGGATGCCTAAAGACGATATAATCAGATTTTGCTTACTTTCAGTACTAGCTTAATGTACTTATTAAAATAATTTGTGCATCAGTAAGTATTTATTAATCATGTGATAAATACAAAAGTAGTACTACAGAGTCTTAGTGATCAAGAAGCCTTGGTGGATGAATGATTCAAAATAATAATGTTTTCTGAATATTTGAGGGATAATATCCCTAAGTATCAAAATATGTTTAAGTATTAGCTGTTGGAGAAAATATTTCTGAAATGTAATGGATATCTCCACCATATCGTCTTCAGTAGGCAATACTAGATATTATATAGCTATTTTATTTATGACTTTGTTCAATGAACACATATTTACCAAAGCACCTACTCTATGTCTGTGCCAGGCCCTGGGGTAGGGTCAAAAATAAGGTAGACACATAGTCCCTGTCCTTATGGAACTATGACATAATGGGGATGAAGACATTAAACTAACAATACAGAGGTGGTAAGTCCCAGAAAGGAAAAGTAAATAGGGTTAGGAAAAAATATTAAAAGTTTTCACTTCAGGCTGGGCACGGTGACTCAAGCCTGTAATCCCAGCACTTTGGGAGGCCGAGACGGGTGGATCACGAGGTCAGGAGATCGAGACCATCCTGGCTAACATGGTGAAACCCCGTCTCTACTAAAAAGTACAAAAAACTAGCCGAGCGAGGTGGCGGGCACCTGTAGTCCCAGCTACTCCGGAGGCCGAGGCAGGAGAATGGTGTAAACCCGGGAGCCGGAGCTTGCAGTGAGCTGAGATCCGGCCACTGCACTCCAGCCTGGGCGACAGAGCCAGACTCCATCTCAAAAAAAAAAAAAAAAAGTTTTCACTTCAGTTTGGTAGGATGGTTAGGAAGGTATCTCTAAATGAGGAGTAGATGAGGGGAGGTAGGTTGGTGGAGGAAGCAGAAGACAAACACGAGCAGAGGGAAAAGCTTAGACAAAGGGTCTGACATCAGAAGAGGCATGGTGCAGTTGAAAAATGTTTCACGTGACATGGTAAAATTTAAATAATACCAAAAACATCAGGCAGAGAGCAGTACTGCACTGATGTCCCACCCTCGAGCCTCCCCATGAGACCTCTCTGCACATGAATCAACTATCAATATACAAAGTGTTACATAAATAGGACCAGCAAATCCCAAGACATATCTAGTGAGAAACTAATGTAAGCATTGATATCTTGCAGAATTTATTGTTCACCGATGAAAATGACAATTTGGAAATTAAAATAATTGATTTTGGGTTTGCACGGCTAAAGCCACCGGATAATCAGCCCCTGAAGACTCCATGCTTCACCCTTCATTACGCAGCCCCAGAGCTCTTGAATCAGAACGGCTACGATGAGTCCTGTGACCTGTGGAGCTTGGGTGTCATTTTGGTGAGTCCTTTTCAATACAGTCATTAAACCTGCTCATTTCTTCGGTGTCCTCTGTCCTTATCTCGCTCTTCACTGTTTCCTTACATTCATGAAAAATTGGCAAAGTGGTTTCTTTTCTGTACAGCCAATTAGAGGCCTGATCGAATAGTATTTCCCTGTCTTAAAACTTATATTAGAGAAAATGTAGGAGTTTCTATGTTGGTTTATTTTGAAATATTTAAGTTAGCTGTGTTTTATATCAATGAGAGTTAAAGGAACTATAGTATATATGTTTAAAGACACATATTGGACATAATGTGAAAATAGCAAAGTGATTCATAAATAGAAAAGCATTTTTAAAAAACTATTCTGTGAAGTTTCAGACTAAAATGTAGTTAAAGAATACCATTTAGGCCAAATTAACAAATAAATAGATAAAATTAGAAGTATTTCTACTACATAACTTAGAGTAATGTGAGCATGCTTTTCACAAAATGCCCTTGGCTGCTGTGATTAGAAACAGAACATTAAACTAGAAAAATCTTGTGTTTTTTCCTCCAAATATCATTACTTTTTCTGCATATAATTTGTAATGCATGATCTTGGGAAATTTTCAGATAGTACAGAAAGAAGGAACAAGGTGAAAATTACTCATAATCTTCTCATTGACAGATGATATACCTCAAGTTCTCTCTCTCCCTTCAGCCCCTCCTCCCCTGTAGATATGTAGGCGTTACATCTTTCCACATGTTTTCTATACATGTATATATATTTGAATTTTTTAACAAATAAGATTATATTATACCTGTATTTTGAGTCTCTGAAACTTATTTAACCATTTATTTACTAGTAAGCAGTTAGCATTTTTTTCATTGTTTCACTAATTATAAGCTACACAAATGAATATTTTTTTTATATATGTGTTTGTGTTTTTCTCACCATTTCCTTAGGATAGATTCCCAGAAGAAGGGTATACACAACTTTCCTCTAACAAGTGTGCCTAGATTTCCTTCTAAAAGGTTTAACAGATTATGTTCTCATCAACTGTATGGGAGTACATTGGCTATCAATTTTCATCTGAAATGATATCCCATTGTGATTTTTTTTTTTTTTTTTTTTTTTTCTTTTTTTTGGAGACAAAGTCTTGCTCTGTCTCCCAGGCTGGAGTGCAGTGGCACCATCTTGGCTCACTGCAACCTCCGCCTCCCAGATTCAAGCGATTCTCCTGCCTCAGCCTCCCGCGTAGCTGGGATTACAAGTGCGCACCACCTCGCCTGGCTAATTTTTGTATTTTTAGTAGAGACGAGGTTTCACCATGTTGGTCTCAAACTCCTGACCTCAGGTGATGCTCCTACCTTGGCCTCCCAGAGTGCTGGGATTACAGGCGTGAGCCACTGTGCCCGACCTCTTTTATGAATTGCTCTTTACGAACTTTGCCCATTTTCCTATGGGGAGATTTTTCTTACTGCATTTTAAAGCTCTGTTAAATTCTTTCATTCTTTGACATTAATATTGGAAATGTTTTTTCTGGTATGTCACTTGTTATAAAAATTTGTTTATGGTAATATGGGATTTTGATTTGGTTTTTAGAAGGATTTAAACAGAGAAGATTCTTAAATGTCTGTGTAGTAAGATATGTCAGCCTTTTTCTTTATGATATCTGGCTTTGATGTCAGATTGTCACTCCACTCCTATGCCCAACCCAAGTTTATAAAAATATTGTCCTAAATTTTTCTCTAGAATTATTTTATGTTTATACTTAAATCTGGGATTTATTTTGGTGTCAATTGTTTTCCCCCAATGAGTAGTCACTTGTCCCTGCAGGATGGTTCTTTTATTTTTAAGTTTTATATATTTTTTATCTCATTGGTTTTCTTTTTATTTATTTATTTATTTATTTATTTTGAGACGGAGTCTCGCTCTGCCGCCCAGGCTGGAGTGCAGTGGCCGGATCTCAGCTCACTGCAAGCTCCGCCTCCTGGGTTTAGGCCATTCTCCTGCCTCAGCCTCCCCAGTAGCTGGGACTACAGGCACCCGCCACGTCGCCCGGCTAGTTTTTTGTACTTTTTAGTAGAGACGGGGTTTCACCGTGTTAGTCAGGATGGTCTCAATCTCCTGACCTCGTGATCCACCCGTCTCGGCCTCCCAAAGTGCTGGGATTACAGGCTTGAGCCACCGCGCCCGGCCATCTCATTGGTTTTCAGTCATCATTTATAATTTTCAAACTAAACTTACATATTTGTGAATAACATTTTAAACAAAAATAAACTGACTTGTAGATCTGAGTTTCATTGAAGGACTTAAATTGAAGACATTTTTATTAGTAGCATGTCTTAAAGATTAAATAAAAAAGAGACTTTCATTTTTAGTAATAGTCATTTATTTTCTCTTGCAAAAGGCCAGTTATGTCCAACAAGCTCTTTAAGGTTTTAAAAAGCAGTCTTTTTTTTTTTTTTTTTGAGTCTCACTCTATCGCCCAGGCTGGAGTGCAGTGGCCCCATCTCGGCTCACTGCAAGTTCCACCTCCCGGGTTCACACCATTCTCCTGCCTCAGCCTCCCGAGTAGCTGGGACTACAGGCGCCTGCCACTACGCCCGGCTAATTTTTTGTATGTTTAGTAGAGACGGGGTTTCACCGTGTTAGCCAGGATGGTCTCAATCTCCTGACTTCATGATCCACCCACCTCGGCCTCCCAAAGTGCTGAGATTACTGGCGTGAGCCACTGCGCCCGGCCTAAAAGGCAGTCTTAAACAGGCAGCAAGGTGTTTTGGAGCCTCTGAATTCCTTAACTATAGAAATAACTGTGTGTGTAATGACATGGATGGAAGCCGTGCTTCTCTCTAAATCTAATTGTCAAATGATATCACAGGATAATTACAATATCCAGTCTGTGGGAAGTTCTACTGAGCAAACAACCCAGTTTCTTTAACAAATAAATGGTAAGAAAAGGTAAACTGAAAACTTACAGATGAAAAGACACATAAGAAACAATATTTGCATCTTACCGAAATCCTGATTCAAGCACTTTCTAATTTAGATTCTGGGTTTTTGTTTGTTTGTTTGTTTTCTTTGCTATAGTCTCCCTCTGTCGCCCAGGCTGGAGTGCAGTGGTACCATCATAGCTCACTGCAGGCTCAAGTGATCCTCCTACCTCAGCCTCCTGAGTAGCTGGGACCATAGGCACATGTCACCTTACCCCAGCTAATTTTTTTTTTTTAATAGAAACAAAGTCTTGCTTTGTTGCCCAGGCTGGTCTCAAATTCCTAGCTTCAAGTGATCGTCCCGCCTCGGCCTCTCAAAATGCTGGGATTACAAGCATGAGCCACGGTGCCTAGCTTAATTTAAATTCTATTTATTAAATTCAAATTAAGTGTAATTCATATAAATCTAATTTATGGCCGGGCGCGGTGGCTCAAGCCTGTAATCCCAGCACTTTGGGAGGCCGAGACGGGCGGATCACGAGGTCAGGAGATCAAGACCATCCTGGCTAACCCGGTGAAACCCCGTCTCTACTAAAAAAATACAAAAATCTAGCCGGGCGAGGTGGCGGGCGCCTGTAGTCCCAGCTACTGGGGAGGCTGAGGCAGGAGAATGGCGTGAACCCGGGAGGCGGAGCTTGCAGTGAGCTGAGATCCGGCCACTGCACTCCAGCCTGGGCGACAGAGCAAAACTCCGCCTCAAAAAAAAAAATAAAAAATAAAAAATAAATAAATCTAATTTATATACTCTATATCACCACAGCTAGGGAAATTTGAATATTGATTAGATGTTGAATAATACAAAGGAATTACTACTAATTTTTTTTAGATGTGATACTGGTATTGTGGTTGTAGTTTTAAAAATGCTTGCGTTTTATGGTCAGACACCGTCTGTAATCCCAGCACTTTGGGAGGCCAAGGTAGGAAGATTGTTTAAGCCTAGGAGCTCAAGACCAACCAGGGCAACACAGTGGTACCCAGTCTCTAAAAGAGAAAAAAAAAATTTTTAATTAGCTGGGTGGGCATGGTGGCTCATGCCAGTAGTACCAGCTACTTGGGAGGCTGAGGTGAGAGGATCACTTGAGCCCAGAGGTTGAGACTACAGTGAGCCGTGATCATGCTACCACACTCCACAATGGGTGACAGAGCAAGACCCTGTCTCCAAAAAACAAAAGTCCTTGCTTTTTAGAGGTACATGATAAAATACTTAACAGATGAAAATGAACAAAAATAATATCTTCATTAAACTATCAGAAAAAAAGAGTGCTTTGCTAACTTTTCCATATAAATGAATGCATATCTAGATACAAAGGCTGAATTATCCCATAAGAAGCACAAAATTTGTTTGAAGTCTCCTGATTTGTTTTAGAAATAAATGGAAATTTTATATTTTACATCTAATAAACATGTATGTGGATATTTTAAAATGAAAACAAGTTATATTGTCCTCATTGAATAAAATAAATACTCCAGGAATATACATCATGTAGTATTATGAGGTTTTGATTACAACCCATTATACCTGATGGATATACAATCCCTGTCTGAAATGTATAAGATTGTAATAAAAATAGAGCTTACATGGTAATATTAATCTGCTTAGGTTGCTGTAACAGAATACCACAAACTAGGCAGCTTAAACAACAGATATTTATTTTCTCACAGTTCTTGATGCTGGGTAGTCTTAAGATCCAGGTGCCAGCAGGATTGGTGTCCGTTGAGGGCCCTCTCCTTGGGTTACAGATGGCCACCTGCTTGCTGTGTCTGCACACAGCCTTTCCTTGGTCTGCACACTCACAAAGAGAAAGTGTCTGTCCCTTTAAGGATACTAATTCTCTTGGATTAGGGGCCTACCCATATAACCTCATTTAACCTTCGTTACCACCCTAAAGGCCGTGTCTCCAAATACAGTCAAAGGGAGAGCTGGGGCTTCAATGTATGAATCCCCAGGGGCGGGAGAACACAAACGTTCAGTCCACAGCACACAGTATTTAAAGAAAGTAGGATACGATATATAACATACCTGTGAGGTGTCATAAAATT